ATTTGGCTACAGGTGCTGGTCCCATTACACCGCAGACTTAGGACATGAACATGTATATATCAGTAACTACTTATAGAACAACGCATCTGTACATGCCACTTGTTTTTTAGCGTGAAATATTTTTTTCCTTTTTTTCTTTCTTCTTCCTGGCTATGTAAACTTACTTATTGTACTAGGGGTTGGTAGTATCGGGCATCATTCCTTTCTTCCATATCATTCAAGGCCTTTTCTCCTCTATCTCATTCGTATTAATTACTAGCTAATCCAGTAAACTGGGTACCGCCAAACAATATTTTTTTTCTCACCTTTTATACCTTTTCTGGACTTTCACGAACATTTCAACACCAAAATTAGCCATATCGGTTCAGCAGTTCTCGAGTCTTAGCGAGACTAACGAAAGGATATTAACTCGTCGAGTACCGGTTTTGCAGACACAATTATAGAACAATAGGTTGCGGTCACCGGTGACCGCTTGGTGTTTGACAGTTTAATGTTTATTCATATAGATAGACTGGCTTCTTCCCGCGACTTCGTACGCGCAATCAATTTTCTCCCGTTCCCGTAGGATTTTCAGGATTTTTTTCTGTCATAAGAACCTTCTCCTGACAATAACAAATACCTACAACAAAAAAGAATTAGTGAAATCGGTCCAGCCATTTACACGTGATGCCGCACCGTGACCAAGGGAAAAAGGGATTCATCTTTATATAGATATAGATATTAGGTATCTGTGTCATCCTTTACCTTTCATCTTTTACACAACATAAATAGGTTCGATACACTTAAATTTTTTTCGACATTTCGTGCCAATAAAGATTGAGCGGCTGCAAAACGTTTGTATTCGCTTTGTCTTCGATCTTAAGAAGTACGATCATGTCTCAGTATATCGCAGTAAGCTCAAGTGGCTCCCAATCCAATTTCGCCGGAACACTCGCATTTTATGTCTCCTTTATAATGTCCTTAACAACCCAGCCTATCCTATATATCTCCGTGACCGTTTTTCCTTGGCTCGTCCTCCTAAAGCCCTATCTAGGTCCCACCTTAAGTACCTTCTTGAAATCGTTCAACATAAAACCAATTTCTACTCCGGTTCATTCACGGTTCATGCCGTGAGATTGTGGAATTCGCTGCCGCCTAACATACGCGACTCCAAGTCCATCTCCATTTTTAAACGACTTGTCAGGGATTATTATCTTTCGTCCTGAAGTACAGCTTTATTTATATGTATATTTATCTATATATACATACAATATACATATAATATATATTTATATGTAATCATATTTAAATATTTCTAATTATTTTATTTATTACTAGCGACCCGCCCCGGCTTCGCACGGGTGCAATATGCATGTATTATACATACAAACCTTCCTTAAGAATCACTCTATCTATTAAAAAAAACCGCATCAAAATCCGTTGCGTAGTTTTAAAGATCTAAGCATACATACGGACATACAGCGAAAGCGACTTTGTTTTATACTATGTATTGATTTTTGTTATAATTTGCTTAAGTTTATATTTTATCATTATATTACCGTCATTTTAGTTTTAAGTTCTTTCACTAATTTTATTTTGTTTTGTATTCGTTGCATGTATCATTTACGCTGTGTCTTATGTTTAATTTCCTTTTCCTGTCGCAGGTGTGCAGGAAGAAATCCCTTAAGGGATATTCAGTACCTATGTACCTCATGTTTGTAATGTGTTGTCCTTTGTAATATTGTCTGTGTGGTATAGGTACATGAAAGGATAAATAAATAAATAAATAAAATAAAAAGAGTCTCTGAAAAATACAAGATCTGGATTCACTCTAGAAGTCTAGACATTCGATCCAAAGGAACAGTTATAACAATATCTGGAGTGATATAACTCCCGATTTTTTTTCTGAAAACAGAAAAACTACTATATTAAATTCCCCGACCTCTTGCTCCACAGTCTCGCTTACGATTCCTCAATCAACAAGACTGTTTTAACTAACAATGATTATAAAATGTCTCCCTTATATTCCAGGTACTTCTTAAGCAGCTTCCTGCAACACCAGCTCTTCGAGAAGTTGTGCAAGGCTGCAATATTTGGACGACGTAGCGTAGAAGGTGATATACCGGAGACCATCAGCCTGACTAGATGTGATATATACGGGTCTAAAGCAGCTGGAAAGATCTTGAAGTAAGCATTTTTTTTTTAACTAATATCGTGGGTTACTCACGTGATATACTGAGAAAAGCTCTACTAATTTCGAACCACAGAGGGGTTCTTCCTCATGAGCAGCGTGAGTAACCCGCGATATTAGTTAATTTAGTATGTCTCACGATAGTTATTACAAAAAGCATTTTTTAATAAAATTTGGGATCAAGCGTGGGAGAGCCATGTTTCGGCACGATTGGGTCGGAGTGATACCACGGCCTCACAGAAAACTGACGTGAAGCAACGCTTGGGTTGTGTTTCGTCATGTGAGTGAGGTTACCGGAGGCCCAAATTTTTCCAATTTACCTGTCTAATCTACTTAGCAAGTAAATTTGCAATCAGTCAATCCACGGAGCAGTTAGTCCACAGGTTCACTTTTAAATTTTCTTAAAATCAGTGAAACTTGGTTACGTGGGACCAGGATAAGTGTAATAACCTCTATAACTGGAACTCATGCTGAGGTCCCAACAGTTTGGCACTGAATTACCTCTGTTAGTGGGACGAGGTAAACCTCTATATCTGGGATTTGTTCTTTCGATTTATCATCATAGTTACCTCTATAACTGAGACAGCGAGTAAATTTTATATGCATAAACCTCTGTAACTGAGATAACATTGTTTGTTTACTCATTCTTATTCTACCCACAAATTCCACACGTAATTCCAAGTCCACCTCTATTAATGGAACATCTGTAAATGAGACAGATATTTATTTATACCTGTATATCTGAGACACTGGGTAAGTGGAATACCTCTATAAGTGAAACGACATTGCAGGTCCCTTGATGTCTCACTTAACCAGGTTTCACTGTGTCGAATAAAATATTATTTTGGATATTGACCACTACCTGTCATACCCTTTTAGCAGCCCCACCTCCCACATACATTCCTGCACCAGGTACCCAAAGGATGACTGGCAGAGAATGCTGTAAGGATTAAGTCTTCCTTATGCAATTGACTGCACAGTTAGTGCGATGGCTAGGCAATCGGCTGCCGTGCAACGGGTCGCGGGTTCGATTCCCGCATGGAACAACACTTTGTTATCCACAAATTGTTGTTTTGGGTCTGGGTGTCATTGTGTATGTGAACTTATATGTTTGTAAACGCACCAACGACGTAGGAAAAAATCCTAGTGTTTTTTTTAAGGGGGAAAACTCATCGTATGACTGCTCCTGAGGCAGTGTCAGACTCATACTGACTAAAAACCACCCCGTTCCTTCTCCTGCACGTCGAGCCGGAGCCCCGGAGTGTGGGGCAACGTTTTATTAAAAATATTGTATAAGACTAAAATAAATAAATATTATTTTTACAGAGATTTCATGTCCCGAGGTCATTCACAGCATTGGAGTCAAATTCTTGAAGCGACGATAGGTGAACATGTCATATCGGCATCAGCTCTTAATAGATACTATCGACCTCTGTACGTTTTGTTAGAAAAGTTCGTGCGCGCGCACCGCGTTCCTATTGGCTGGTAATTCTTTTGTTAATTTTATTTATTTTTTCTGCAGTCTAGTCTTATTAAATTTGTTGGAGAGATTAAATTTGTTTAATTCCCTTAAATTAATAGTCTTGATCATTGTAATGAATTTCAATGGAAACTAATAGATCCACTAGTAATTAAAATTCCTGCGTCAAATATGAACACTATTCAAAAATAATTAAATATTCAAAAATGACGAATTAAATACATAAATAATATTAATAAACATAAAATAATATCACGCCTTTTATGCCCGAAGGAGTAGGCAGAGGTGCACATTATCGCACTTAATGCCACCGTACAATGTAACACTCACTTTTCACTATTTATGTTATGACTCCCATGTATTAGGGGGTGAGCCTATTGCCATATTTCCAGTCTCCGTGCTACTACTGAGACTTTTTTTAAACCCAGTTTACTTTACCCGAACCGGGAATCGAACCTGAGACCCCTTGCCTGGCAATCGCACTTGCGACCACTCGGTCAACGAGGCGGTCAACAGCCAATAAGAATGATAACAGGGTATGAAAATTAAAAATCTAATGAGTCCGTCAGTTAGGTAATGAAAAAATATTAGACAAGCATTTATTTATTTTGTTGTATAATAAAATGATACTTAGATATAACGAATCAAAGTTTAGGAGTGGGGGCTAAAACGTAATTTCTACTTATAAAATGTACATAGAAGTGACGTCACGCGACATTTCAAATTAATATAGCATCGAAAATATTCGTTTATGTAAAAAAATAAAAAATACGTGTCTAATATTTTAAAATAATCCCTATTATAATTAATAATAAAATAAAACAAACCAATAAATTAACAATAAATACAATTTATTAAATTAACATTAAATTACGTACTTTATCAACAACGATTTTTGTCCTCGTTAATGAACAAATAATTATCTAATATTAAGTATTTATAACAGAAAAGTAGAAAAAATGGTACAAAATAAATTAAAAGCAGAATAACTTACTCGAAGCACATTTTTTAAATTATAACTTAATTAATTATTTACATTAACCGTTTATAATAATGGTAGAAATTGTAAAAAAAAATGTAAAATTGTTCCTTTTGTTACGTATTTACAAATAACGGGATATTTACAAAAGATATTTATTTGAAAACAATAAAGATTGGATCCAAATATTCGTCACAAATACATTAAAAACTGTGCTTGGTATTTTTATAAATAATTTTCACATAATACTTGAACCAATCCCCAAAATGTTTGTCAAGTGTGGGGATTATGGCAAACCGCTTCTGAAAATGGTGACTTTTCATCTGCAGAGGATATATCCTCTGCAGATGAAAGAAAAGTCTCCAGGAAAATATTCCAGCTAACGATAATGAATGATGATTAATTGAACCAAACTTTGGAACAATATTTGTGACCAATATTTTACTCCAATCTCCATGTTCCAAAATAAGGCACTATACATAAGAATTATAAAGTTAAAATTGCAATAACAGCGAGTATTTATGTATTTATTTATCATGCAACAATAATCCCATTGAATTTAATTATTTTTATCACAATAAAATACCTTATAATAAATTATTTCAAGAACAATAGGGAATAACGAGTGACATTTATTTTGTGATGTTTATTTTATTTAAAGTTATTTATTTTTTATGAATAAAACGATACCTAAATGGTTATTTAATTGACTATTTGGTGGAATGGGGTAATGAAATATTATTAATTGTTTATTAATACATAAATGTACAGACGCTGGTAGGTCAACGTATACCTATTAATTTTTATAATCTGCAAACGATTTTTTACTTTACTGTTTTATAATAGATTCGAAAATCAATTACATAAATTGAACATACTAAAGTATGTTTAAAGTAACACTGAGTTTTCCTGCTCCTAAAAATGTTAAATGAAAACCGCCCTTATTGTGTAGGAAATAAAAATGCTAATAAAACGAAGTATTTTTATAACCTAACGATTTCATTGGACTGTAGCCTGGGAAAACGGACTGTATTATTATGTGGTTAAAGTCTTTTATTAACTGCAGACGAGTTAGAGGCTACTCCAGTTTTCAAATTATTGACTTGATGTTGCACTACAATTGTTTCTTTTGTTCTATTCATTGAGTTAATTTAAAACATGGTATTATTAAATCATACCTACTTTAACAGCATAGCATAAAACACACAAAAATAAAAAATAAACACAATTAAAACTAAAAGCGATTAAACAAAACTTTCAATTAAGAAAGAAATTTTAATCAAATTTATTTTTAACCATGCTTAGTACGAACACACTTTAGTCAACCATGGAAATTCAGTAGTCATTCAAATTTGAGCCTTTTTACTAAAAACTTCAAATCTTAAAATCTTAAAATCTTCACGTCTTAAAACTTCTAATCACAAGGCACTGTAATTCGTTCACTTCACTTATCAATGCTATGATAGGGTTGTGGCGTGTGATATCCAGTCAACAGTGTGTGCGACTCTATGATAGATCCCTGGTTGGCCTCTACTGGCACAGGAGTAGCCGGCGGAGACAACTCCTATGAGGTACCAGCGACCAGCTCGTTCTAGCATGAGAGGTCCTCCACTGTCTCCTTGGCAAGAGTCCTTGCCACCACCTCGGTAGCCAGCACACAGCATTTCTGGGTATATCACGACGTTTATACCTGGAATTTTGAGATTTTTGCGTTAGTATAATGTGGTTATCTCAGTAGTAGCACGGAACCTGGAATTGTGCCCGGTATATGGCAATAGGCTCACCCCCTATTACATAGGACCTATAACATAAATAGTGAGTGTTACATTGTACAGTGGAATAATGTGCCCCTCTGCCTACCCCTTCGGGAATAAAAGGAGTGATGTTATGTTATGTTATAATGTGGTTATTGGAGATTGGAGAATAAGGATAAATCAATTAGGTGATAAGGTTTTACGATCTCCCATAGCAGAATGATAGACTGGAAGTTTCCTATTAAAAGATGATGAACTGTAGAACATCGATTTATGTTATTTAGTTTTAAATACTAGGCACCATTACTGAAAATTCTCAAAGTTTATTGGGTTCAGAAATTGAACTCATAACCTCTGTAGTCCAACTTTCAATTATTCAACAAAATTAGGGGAACTCACATCATACATCTATATTTATCAAATAAAATATTAAAACTTACCATTGGCCCGATGCCACCTCTCGCAGACTCTATTGTCCAGCACCGGGACGTCCACTGCCTGTAAGGTGCGTGGTCTCAGCCTGGAGCCAGGACTGAGCGCCCCCCAACCAGCTGCCCAGCCGTATTGCCCCAGGAAGTCGGAACCACGCTCCGGTAGACAGATGGGTGCTGGAATCAGGGTTGACGAATATGAATATTGTGAATTCCTAATATCAATAATCACCAATTATTTTAGAAGTACTATGAAACAAGTGGTGAGCCTATTGCCATATTGCATCAGGTTTTTGACCCTCAAAGAGAATGATGAACATATTCAGTAATCCACCCAGTTTTCGACAGTTGTGTTATACATCCCATGTAGTAATTAATTTTGTTGCAGATGTCCAAATCTTGTTACTGGAATGGGTCTGATATAAAATAGGGAGAGAAATATTAATTCAAGAATTGAACATTAATGTTGCAGAAATAGGTGCTTTTCAATTCAAACCATACTGTGACGGTGCTGTTAAAATACATGAGTTCGTATGTACTTTGGACAGATCCTAATACTTTATATATGTATTTCTCGCTACTAAAATAGTTCTCGTTGTCACAATGAGTCTAACATAATAGATTAGAACCCATATATCCCCCAAGCGGTCACCGGTGACCGCTCTCCACTAACTACATTATAGACCTTGTTTCCAATGTTTAGAGACTACTTTTGTATGAACTAATTTAGGGGATGATTTTCAACGGATAGACTCTTATTATATGTATTTTAATAAAGAAAAAAAAAGAAGTAATTGACGTAACAAGCAAAGAGTGAGCGTATCATCATATTGCTTCAACTCAAAAATATTTGACTCGACATGAAGCGAGTCTGGTCGAGCATTCGAAAAAATTTAAAGACCTAAGTTACAAATGACTGCACGGTTGGCGCGGTGGTTGGGCAACTGGCTGCCGCGCAACGTGTCGCGGATTCGATTCCCGCACGGAACAACTCTTTGTGTGATCCACAGATTGTTGTTCCGGGTCTGGGTGACATAGTGTCATGTGTATGTGATATTGTATGTTTGTAAACGCACCCACGACACAGGAGAAAATCCTAGTGTGGGGCAACGTTTTTTTAATATAAAAAAAATAAATAAATAAAAAAAATAAAAGATGTTCTCTTCTTACTGTAGGAAAAAGTACAAATAAATTCCATACTCACCTATATGCGGCATATAATGGACATTTCTATCCAAGGTCAGGACCGCCACATCGAATCGATCAGCTTGTGGGGTAAACTTGAACAGGGGATGAACTTTGATCGTTCGGACTCCAAACGTGTATGCAGGCAGAGGTTCGGCTGCAGAATTGATGACGTAATCGCCGAGGGTTACACGGACGTGACGAGGTTGGGCGCGAGCGACGCAGTGGCCAGCGGTGACTACATGCCGCCTCGATATTAAGGAGCCACCGCATCTGTAACGTTTTGAAGAGGTTCGTTAGGTAAAATTCTAGTAGAATTTTGTAAAGTAATGAATTTCAACTGTAACATTTTGTGGTAAAGTCGATATTAATTTGAGAGTTTTTGCTTTGGCAACTACAGTCGCCTGTAGCCGTAGCCTGTAAACTACACAAGTATCTTAAGCGGTTTTAAAAAGATACATTTTAAAAACCTAGCGAGACAGTAGAGTTTTCATGCATAGAGAAAATTGGGCTGTCCTGCTAGTCAATATTAAAAACAAAGAAAAGACGGTTCAGTTTCTTTAAAAAGCAACCTTAAATAATAGACCTTAGCATTCATTTTTCCACTCCTCAAATCACTATTCATTACAAAGAACACATGCAAAGCATTCCATCATGCTTCGATCACTACTTAAAATAACCAAAAATAAAATAAACACTTACCTCTGAAAAATAAAATATTTGTTAAACATAATTAAATGTTAATTTTGTTAAAGTTAATTAATACAACAAAAATAAATAATGTTAATAAAAATATAACCTTAAATTTTCGATTTAATATAAGAAGAGGAATGTGCGAAAAAGTCGGTGAATATAACAAAATAGTAATTTCGCTATTTTAGCTACGAAGGAAAGAGATAGAAAGTACTACCTACATTCATAGGTCTAATAAAAAAGAATCAAAATTTTGAAAATTGAAAACAGCGTAGGACGTAATATATTTTCTATTCAGCCTGGCACACTAAATGACATATTTTTTTCAATTTCCAAAATTGAGCGATTTACACTATTTAAAACCTTTGTTCTAAGATAGCAGACATATTTAGGTTACGTCACATTAAAAAATCATGAATGATTGAGGCCATCAGAATGAGAGAACAGAAAGTGCACCTGTATTAATTATAGCTATATAGCACATAGTTGTACTTGCACTTTAATGTTTTATAGTTTGTTAATCCCCATTAATAATATATTAACCACCGGTTAATATATTATTCGGTTATCGGTTAATAACCGATATCAGTGGCTAAACTATTGTTGTAATAATGACCAAAAAAACAACAAATTTATAACTTTTGTTTTGGACATTTGACTCTCATAACGTAACGCAATTTAAATACGTCATCAAAACCCACTACAACATTAAGAGTAGGAGTTGCTGGACAACATGCTATCTCTTTCGCACATTTACCTCTCTATCCAACACTGCTTCCAACCGATAAGCTCGAATATTGACATAAGCATGTTGCATCTGTAAAATCAATTATTAATTCATGTTAATACATTAATTTTAATATTAGTCATATATAATGGTGATTAATTAGTATTATTTTTAATGGAAATAATAAATTTATTTAACTAACATTATCTTTATCTTAATAGAACAAATATTAAAACAAAATTATATTACATTTTTTAACAATTAAATTGAAAGGCGTAACTATTACAAATATTGCTGATGAATACACAGGTACGATAATAAATCAATCAAACCACGATAGTAATAAATAATAAATTAAGACGCACAGGACACTGAAATCGAATAAAATTTATTATTTCCACATTTATAAGTAGGTATTGTTATTTACACATATAAATACATATTTGGTTCGCGCAAATATATACAGGTAGGCATTTCGCGACCCGCGACGCGGCGACTGTCGCGCTGCTACTCGAATGAATATGAGCCTCTAGCATGGCTTGAAACTAGTCGAGTTCCTCGTCAAATTATTACGTGAGTAAGCCGAAAACATAATAATTTATTTAGTATGTCTCACGAAAGTTACAATACAAATACTGATAGATATTTTGTAAAATAAAATATAAATAACATCTGGCATAAAATGTTCTTTTCGGAAACTATTTAAACTAAGTTTTATAATAACGGCAATACGGCAATGTCATTCTACTACAATTCCATTAGGAGACCATTGACCGATCAATGATCGACTATTATGAAGTTACCCAGTTACCCTAGTCTCCCGAATCCCCGAATCCTCCACAATCCTTAAATTCCCAATTCCCAAAAGGCCGGTAACGCACTTGTAACGCCTTGGTGTTTCGAGTGTCCGTGGGCGACGCCGATTGCTTATCATCAGGAGACCCGTCTACTCGTTTACCGACTTATGCTATAAAAAAAATTAGCATATTAGGATTTTTTAACCAAATGACAATGCGATCGTGTTGGAATGATAACAATTATAAAAATACCAGACTTGAGGCCCTGAGGTGATGCTCGCCTGTTTTTAACTTTTAACACTGCGTTTCTAAAAAAAAAATTATTTAAGATATTAATCTTATAACCTTTGCGTGAACCAAATATTAGGGATATTATTATAAACACATTAATATTAGTAACGTTTTAGTCAATTTGTGCATAATTTACAAAATTATTTGTTTTTATTTTTGTGCTGTTAAATGTGTAAAACAAAATTGTAATATATATATTTGTGGTGTAATGTAGTGTTGTGTCAAAATGAATGTGTATTCAAAATTAATGATATTTTTATTAATGGAAAATTTTAAAAGGAGATCCGTCCAAAGTGCGTTGTAAGAATTACCTTTGAAAATAAAACTAATTAACATTAAAATTGTTTAAATAAATGTTTTAAAAGTTATTCCTAATTATACCTTAAACGTTTTCCATTAATAAAATAACCAAAGTGTTCCCATACGCTGTTTAAACCTTATATAGGTACCTATAGATTGAACTATAATTATCCCTCATAAGTAACCGAAATATAAAAATAAAAATGGAACAAAATGCATTATTTCCGTTATGTTCGATGAAAGGAATGATGTATAAATATAAATATATACAAATAATAAATATAATACATATATCATAAATTTAAGTAGAAGGTCTATTTGATTCTAAATAGTTAGGCTGATAAATATTAAAATAATTTGCCGAAAATTAAAATAATGTTACTAATTGTCATTCTTGTTAAATATATTGATTCAATTTTGATGATAAAATATAATATAATTAAAATAAATTAATATGAATAAATAAATAAAATGAATAGTCAAAAATAAAATAAACGCGTCGAAATATAAATTATGACATAACTTCTAAATCACGAAAAAATTAAAAATAAAGGGGTTGTTTAACCTTGAGGATCCTATCCTGATGTATGCTTGCCAGGGGAAGGTGCCGAAGCCAGCATCGTCACCACCAACAATCCTTCGCTGTGCCGTCTGCTTACCAACTGCGATACCACAACCTGGAAACAATAAGAGAAATAAATTATAATCGTGTAATTATTTTAGTTCATAGTTATTTATATTTTAAGTTGTATATATTTTCATTTAGTCAAAGTCAAAGTCACAATCAATTAGACCAGAATGGCACTTTTGTACGTCAAACAACAAAAATTTAAAAGTGAAGCTAGTTGCTCATTCCAAGGTGTAGATTCCTATGGAGAAGAACGAGCAAGAAACTCCATAGTAATAGTTAATATTAATTTTATTTATGTCCTTATGTAAGTTAAATTACAAAATAAAATAACCATAAATCTATTAAAGGTAATTTTAAGTTGTATATATTTACGAATAGAGTGGTTGAATGTTAAAAAAAATAATAAATAATCGTGTATTGTATAATATATACAAAGGGAAACATCGTGATGAAACTTGGTCTTTATAATGTCGAGCAAACGTGGTGATTAATGCTCATGCCTTCTCTATGTAAGAAGAAGTTTTTTCTTAGAAGTGAGACAGTAACACTGATGCTGATGATGGAATTAAAATTAAGTCTTAAGATGATGAAGCATAAGCAAGGAGCCACTGGATGCAGGTCGTTTCCAACCGATCAGGAAGTCATTGTGCGGAAACTGATTTTAATGATAATGGTGGACCATGCATTCATAACTTTAATTTCGATTAAATTTAAAAATAAACAATATCATTAAGTTTTCTATAAGTATTGGAAACTCCATTGTGAGATGCAATATACATAATGTAACCAATCGATCTCAATACAAATATTTACATTATTTTTTTTTTCATAATAATAATTATGCCTAGGCTGCGCGACATCGCCGCGACCGCGCACGCTGCTCATGAGGAAGAACCCCTCTATGGTTCGAAACTAGTAGAGCTTTTCTCCATGAGATTTACAAAGTCAAAGTTAAACTCAAAGTCATTTATCTCATTTAGACCACGAAGGCACTTTTGAAAGTCAAACAAAAAAAATTAAAAGTGTCAGTCTGTTGATGTCGATTAGTTCTCTTCTGAACCTAATTGTTCGTTCCAAAGTATAGATTCCTATGGAGCAGAACGAGTAAGACATTCTTACTCTTCTTCAATCAGGTACATCCTTACTAATCCTTACTTCCTTACTTATAATATTACAAATTGGAAAGTGAGTTTGTTTGTTTGTTTGTTCCGCTTTCACGCCGTAACTACTAAACCGATTGCTTTGAATTTTTGCAGACGTAAAGTTAGAAGTCTGGTTTAAATAATAGGGTACTTTTTATCCCGGAAAAATTTGATATTCCCGAGGGAAAACAAAAGTTTTGGTATAGATGGCGCTGTGTGTATTGGTATATGTCACATAGGCTACTTTTTATCCTTTTGTGACGCGAGCGAAGCCGCGGGCAACAGCTAGTACTAGATATACAAGATTCATACATGACTTAACCCTCTGCAACTGACGTGGTTAAATTGTTACAATTCAACTGAGGTGTATATTATACCAGACACCATTTCAACAGCAAATATTTTTGTAGAATTAAAGTATAGCGAGCACTATACAGTAAGGTACTCGCAGCAGTGATGCTCGTATTTGAAAAATGACGGTATAACACGTGATTTTGTATTTCGCGGTGTCTGTGGGACTACACGTCAGCCGCAGACGGTTAAATACCATAGTATAACATCACACTCAAACGAGCACTTTTGAAAACAAAAAACAAAATTTGTCGCTCAGTTGAGTTGTAAAACTAAATTCGTTTTGCTAAACCCTCTTAACTATATTCCCAAGTAAAGAAACTTATGTCGGAATACTCAAACGCTACTCAATTTTAAGTCGCGCTTAAGTATAGTTCTGTCTCTACAAATTCTTTGTAAAATGACAGAGATGGCATGATATTTAAGTACGACTTAAAATTGAGTAACGTTTCAGTATTCCGGCATTAGTCAGGTTGAACTTAGTCAGTTTTGAGGGCGGGATGAATCATCCAATGACATCTCCTGCCTTGGTTGAGTCGAGAGGGAGTGTCAGACTCTTAGTGACTAAAAACCACCCCGTTCCTTCTCCTGCTCTTCGAAATGGAGCCCCGCAACCCGTTTAGTCTTTCGCGGCTGTGTAGAGACCGGGTCTGGGAGTATAGTGTGTGTAAAATGTTTCTCTCATACACTCATTCACAACACTATCTATACAAGGTGTTGTTTTTAAACTGTCAAACACCAAGCGGTCACCGGTGACCGCAACCTATTGTTCTATAATTGTGTCTACAAAACCGGTACTCGATGAGTTAATCCGCGTCATTTTCTAGGAGGTAACTCAGATATCGATTCTGAGTCCGAATCAATAAAAAAATTGTAGGCAAATATTTTTCAAACATAACATTTTTTTAT